CGGGGGCCCTGTCGGTCACGCAGGTTCGGATGTCCGGGGTCACTGTCGGTCACGCAGGTTGTGATGTCCGGGGTCGCTGTCGGTCACGCAGGTTGTGATGTCCGGGGTCGCTGTCGGTCACGCAGGTTTGCTCTGCCATTGTGCGGGGGAACCGGCGGAGTGAAATCTGCAGCTGACAGTCGGATTTCCTCCTCCTTGAAACAGACGCAATGAATTGGCTGACAACACGCGTCCCTGGTGAGGAGTTATGTGAATCAAACATTCCCCGATGAGCTGGCACAACCTCCCTGATAGTGTGTAGTAGGAGCTGCAGATGGCGGAGGAGCACAATGATTGCTCTGTTCCTGCACGCCATGCCCGCCATCTTTTTTTTTTTTTTTTTTTTTTAAGGCCATTGGGGGGGGCCTTGGGGCTTTAGGGAATAAGAGCCATAGGAGGGGACCTAGAGGCTATAGGAGGTGACCTAGAGAAGGGGGCCAAGAAGAGGGAACCTAGAGGAGGTGACCTAGAGGCTATAGGAGTTAACCTAGAGGAGCTGACCTATAGGCAGGGACCTAGAGTAGGTGGCCTAGAGTCTAAAGGAGAGGACCAGGAAGAGGGAACCTAGAGGAGGGGACCTTGAGGAGGTGACCTAGAGGCCAGAGAAGGGGATCTTGTGGAGGTGACCTAGAGGCCAGAGAAGGGGATCTTGTGGAGGTGACCTAGAGGCCAGAGAAGGGGATCTTGTGGAGGTGACCTAGAGGCCAGAGGAGGGGATCTTGTGGAGGTGACCTAGAGGCCAGAGGAGGGGATCTTGTGGAGGTGACCTAGAGGCCAGAGGAGGGGATCTTGTGGAGGTGACCTAGAGGCTAGAGGAGGGGACCTTCCGGACTTGAGGCGCTGACCTAGAGGAAGTGACCTAGAGGCCAGAGAAGGGGGATCAAGAGGAAGTGACTTAGAGGAGGGGGCCTTGTGGAGGTGACCTAGAGGCCAGAGGGGACCTTGTGGAGGTGACCTAGAGGCCAGAGCAGGGGACCTTGTGGAGGTGACCTAGAGGCCAGAGGAGGGGTCCTTGTGGAGGTGCCCTAGAGGCCAGAGGAGGGGACCTTGTGGAGGTGCCCTAGAGGCCAGAGGAAGGGACCTTGTGGAGGTGCCCTAGAGGCCAGAGGGGACCTTGTGGAGGTGCCCTAGAGGCCAGAGCAGGGGACCTTGTGGAGGTGACCTAGAGGCCAGAGCAGGGGACCTTGTGGAGGTGACCTAGAGGCCAGAAGAGGGGTCCTTGTGGAGGTGACCTAGAGGCCAGAGGAGGGGTCCTTGTGGAGGTGCCCTAGAGGCCAGAGCAGGGGACCTTGTGGAGGTGCCCTAGAGGCCAGAGGAGGGGTCCTTGTGGAGGTGACCTAGAGGAGACTCCTTCCTTGTAAAAAAACAACAACAAATGATTCCGCAATTACCCGGTGATGCGGCGTTTAGTGCGATGGAAAACCCTTAACAATCAATGAATAATGGACCGTCGCTGCTGATAGGTTGACGTAACTGACTTTATCTGTGATTGGTTGCTAGGGGTAACTGCCTTAAAACCTCTCTCTGGTTTAAAAAAACCAAACCTACCCTTGCAGGGGGTCTCCATTCGCGCTGATCACCATGATGGGGGGCAATTGATGGATCTCTTCCGG